AGGCATCTTTCATGAAAAAGCTTTTCAAGAGATAGTAGCTGTATTCGAGTGATATGCGATGCCATTTTAATTAGTCTATTTAGTCTAAGTCTTTGTGCCAGTGAAGTATTACCATACCAGCAGGTGATGGCAAAGTTAATCAGACTGCTGATGGTTGCTGTATAAAAAAAGATGTTAGATTTTAATCCGGTTCAAATCCATTCCGTTGCAGGCTCTTCATCTCGCATTGCTATTAAGAAATATCTATGGAGGATAAAACTATATATATAGCTGCCTTTTTTTGTGTGTGTGTATCCGGTGTACAGAATACAGGAAGTGTTGATAAACTAGGTGTTTTACGGTCTGGTGTTTAATTAATCACTTTTTAGCATTCCAGAATAAAAATGTTAAATCTCTTCCGTTTGTTGCTCATTTTATTTTATTTTTTTTTAGTTGGCGACAATGACGTTCAGTTTAGCGTCCTTGACATTGTTTAGTTTATCGTGGCCACGTGATATTCTCTGTAATCGATTGTCATAGAAACAGTTGAGACTTAGAATTATCTTCCCCTTGCATGGTAACGTGTGATAAGCCTTGATCTTGTAGTTGTTGATGGCAGCCTGACTTCGGCAGATTTCTCAGGAGATGTCTGAGTTTCTTGTACGGGTGTATTAGATGCGCTTAAACTACTACAGAACAATGCCTACATATCTAACAAGGTTAAAGGACTTAAGTCCAGATCCGTTATTTACTTGAATGAAATTCAATACTGAAAAGGCAACAGTCGAGTCTCTGTTCGTAATATGCAGTTGTCCCTTTGAAATCCCAGCACCAGCTGACTAATATTAACATAAATAAAGTAGACCCGACTAAACCGTGACGTCAACTACGGTGCGTCTCTATACTAAGTGTCTAACAAACGTCTAAAAGGGAAATGTACTTTTTAGATACACAAACTAGGTGGATTCAGAAATGTGCAAGTTACATTCAGCAGTACGGCCAACTACTTGTGGACGTCAGGGTTGTCACTAAAGTTATTCCCCTTGAGGTATTTTTAATGTTGTGTAGTACGTCATACAGACTTTTGTAACTGAAGATTATTCGTTAAGTACCTTTTCATTTCAACAATTATTGTCTACCATACAACAAAGATTTACTGGACTCCACCGTCCTTAGCAACTGTGTTTAAAACTATTTCAACTTCCCCTCAGATCAAGACTACCTAAAAGAAATTGTAGCTCAATTCTCTGCATCTTGGGGCGAAAATTAAATCTTACTGTGCTCCCATTCTGATGTCCCCCCCCTCCCCTTTAACATGGCCTTGTGGAGTGTCACCGGAGCATGCCGATCTTGTCCTCCAAAGCCGTATAGTTCATCGTGAGGCCCATACAAGAATGAACTTAAATAGTTTTGACTTCCCGTGGTGCAGAGGGCCGCAACAGTACTTGGCCATCGGGCTCTGGGGCGATTCCTCTCAGTTGGGTCCATGTCCATCAGGATGTCCTGGCATCTTGGTCTACTGATCTCTTCTCAGTTAGGTCCATGTCCATCAGGATGTCCTGGCATCTTGGTCTACTGATCTCCTCTGTTAGGTCCATGTCCATCAGGATGTCCTGGCATCTTGGTCTACTGATCTCCTCTCAGTTAGGTCCATGTCCACCAGGATGTCCTGGCATCTTGGTCTACTGATCTCCTCTCAGTTAGGTCCATGTCCATCAGGATGTCCTGGCATCTTGGTCTACTGATCTCCTCTCAGTTAGGTCCATGTCCACCAGGATGTCCTGGCATCTTGGTCTACTGATCTCCTCGATGTTTGCTTTGGTCTCCCAGCTTTTCTCTTCCCGTGTTTGTTCCTGTCTAGATCCTGTCATCCAAACTTGCACACGGCACTAATAAAATCCATGTAAAAGAAAAAATGTATGGAGAATTGCTTGATCTGGAAACATTTGAGCAAAATCACCTTAGAAGTAGGTCTAGAAATCTCAGCCCCCCCCCACCCCAATGAGAAAGAGAACGCAGAAAAAGATGATTGACTCGTTAAAAAAATTAAACATGAGTTCGTTGCAGATTCCACACGTGGCACATATAGTAACTTAATGCTCATATAATAATGTTTGAATGGACTATTGCTATGCGTGTGTGTGTGTGGTAGATCAAGAGTTATAATCACTGTTATTGTCATTACTTGTCTCTTTGTTAGTGTTCCTCCCAAAACCACTCCTTCTGCTAGACCACGTGACATGTGACCCAACGTTCATAAATCTGTGATACTTAAGTCTAAATACCCCCCCCCCCCCCCATGAGATTATGTAGAAGGCAGGTAAAAGAGAAATCCAGGTACTTCATTGTGTTACGTAAACGTCGTGTCCTTTAGTTAGTGTGGTCAGGGCGCTTCTCTTCTCGGACCGTAGCTTTGAAAAATTCATATGACTTTAACTTATTTTCTTTTTTTTTATATATTGCACAGTACACTTATTTATAGCGCATTCAGACATTTTTCCCTCACTGATATAGATGAAAGCTGGCAGTGTATGACCTCTGAAAGGTCGTGGGACATATTTGAGACTCAATGAAAAGCCTTTGCTGAACATAGGCGCAGAAAAGAGTCCTTGTAATCACAACAAATTTCCATAAGGATCAAAAAGCAGTCTTAGTCTCAAATAGATCTCTCACGGCTTCGTGTACATTGGTTGTGGTATAATATGTAGGTCGGAAGTGTGTCTACGTTGTCACGTGAAACACTGCACTGATACTTGTTCTTCGGAATTGAAGCCCATGCCCTACATCTCAATTACCTGGGAACTATGGGAGGGGTAGTTCCTCCTGTCCAGTTCCCAATCGGAGTTTTTCCCTTATCATTGGCTATGGTTCATACCTCTTTCTTAAACTCATCAATCTATTTGTGGCATCGTAATGCAAGGTGCCTCTGCTTCTTTAGGACTGACACCTTGCATCGGATCGTCTGCAACATCTCCCCGTAACACCTCCTCCGCAGAAGCGGAACTATAAAAGTAATACAATACTTCCGTAGAATCTTTATAAAAAAACGAAACAAAACCCAGTTATGGTGGAATAAATCAAAAGGTTAGAGAATACTGATTAGATAATTATAAAAAAAAAAACGTATCAATAAATGTTAATTTCGACATGTAAGACATTGGCTAATTATTCAAATTTCTGTTGTGACATGAAGCTGTCTGGTGAAAGGAAAGTGATTGGTCTCTGATGGTCTGGGGCAACAACTTGACATTCAATGTGACTCGCGAAATGGTTTCATTTATACCTGGAGATAGGGAGAGAGAAAGAGAGAGAGAGAGACTAATAGAAAGAGGAGGGAATTGGAGAGTGGGAGGAAAATTCGGAAGAGGAATAAATAGACAGAAGAGAGTGAGAGAGCGAGAGATAGAAAGATTGACCGAAAAAAAGAAAACAATTTGGAGGGTGAGAGAAAGATTGAGAACGAGTCAGGGAGAGAACGTGGACCAAGATGGGCAGCAAGATTGAGAGAGAATTAAAGAGAGAGAGAGCGCATGATACAAAGAGTGAGAGAGAGATTATAAGAGAATAAATGCTCTTATTGCCATCCACATTCAGGCTCTTCCATTGGGAGGTCTCACTTGTTTAGTGTCACTTTATTACCTCACTCTCCTTCTCGGTACTGCCCCCCCCCCCCCCATTACATTTTTGTGCTTGCATGCAATGTCACTAACATAATGTAATACTACAATAGATTGTGGGGGGGGGGGGGCGTATAGAAGGGCTTGGTGTGTTAGGAAAGGAGACCACCCCAAAGTGTGTGTGTGGGGGGGGGGGGGGATAAGTTGCCACTTCATGAGAACAATGGCCGACCAGAACGTGTATTTTCAGACTTAAAGATAGTCCATTCTGGTGGATGAGAAGGGGAGGGGAGGGAATGCATAACAAACATCATTCAAGAAAGGGTGTAATAATGGAGAGACAGAGTGACAGGGCAGAGAGAGAGAGAGAGAGAGAGAGAGACAGATAGAGACAGAGACACACACACAAACATAGATAGAGAGATACAGAGACAATGCGACAAAACTAAAAGCAACTATTACATTGTAGATAAATCAAGCAATCCACCGACATACATAAACAGCCTGCAATCGTGGGGAGGAGGGGTGTCGGTGTGGGGAGGGGGCTTACCATTAGAGGATTCTTCCTAAAGAAATAAGGAGTGGGAAGGGGGGTGTGCAGTCTGTAAACAAATGGTTTACTGTCTGCAGTGCAGTTTAAACACTACTTAAAAGTGGCCCATGTAAATGCCGACTCAGCAAGGCTCTATTTGAGGCATGAATGGAGCAACAGAACAAAATCTGTATACCAGTGCAATAGTGTTATCACATGAAAGACATTTTGGATTTATCTCTAGGTCTACTGACAGCCTTGCTTATGCTTTTTGAACCCGCATGTCACTGACTCCATATCGGACTCAAGTCACAATGAATCTAGTTTCTGTCACTATATAGAAAGTTTTTTTTAATGGTTCTTTTATAATACCTAATTTTTTGTTCTCTCTCTCTCTCTCTCTCTCTCTCTCTCTCTCTCTCTCTCTCTGTGTCAAGCTTCAAGGGTTCGAATCGAGACCAGTCGTTATTGAAGGCCTGAACACTGACCTGCAACGTCACAACCTGTGGGCAGTGGAGACCAATAGCTCGTCGCCACGTCGTACAGACCTGTGACATGGCAATAGGTAGAGATGGGAATCGAACCCAACTTTTAAAGTTCGGGTTCGGTTCGCTCAGATTTAAGTTCGGCTTGTTTCGATAATGATTATAGTTCGGTTCGGTCATAAGTGTGGTTCGAGTTCAGTTCGTTCGGTTCGGGTTCGGTTCGTTTCCCAACTCTAGCAACAAGCTATTGATTTAAACCACCCATATGTTGCGACGTTGCAACTCCACTTGTGTCTAAGAACATAAGTCGCCTGCACTGACGGGGGAATATGGAGATTTTCTCCGGTATGCTCGGCTTAGGACTCGTTTCTAACCTAAGCATCTTGAGATACGAGCCATCGATAATAAGGATGCAAAATTTAAATCCGCTTGGATCTTTCCCATACAGAAGATTGTTCAGACAGGCAGATGGAGACACGCCTCCACAGGCCTAGAGTTACAAGAGTCTTAGACTTCACTCGTTGGACAATAAGAAAAAAAAATGATATGCACCCATAACTTTTTTTTTTTTTGCGCCTGGTTCTGTTCCTTGAAGGAATGCTTAGTAATTCCCGAGACTGCACGAGATTTTCACGATTAAACTAAACAATGTCAAGGACGCTAAATTGAACTCCAAACTTGACAACTCGATAAAAGTCACAAACGGAAGAGCTTAACAAATTAGCTCCTACAGTGCCAAAATGTGCACAAGATGTAGCATGTAACTTTTTAAAAACACAGCCTAGCAACCCATCCTTTATTTTGAAAACCGGATACACCTAAAAGCTGGCTATTTTAAGATTACCCGCCATGTATGAAAACCTTCAATAGATAATAATAACCAGGCTTTGTACTCTTTGATATTTATAGATACGCAGCTCTTTAAATTTTGTAGTCAAATGTGGGTCATTCTTATTCGATTAGTACTTCTCCCTTTAAAAATTCAAGCTGGGTTTTTCCCTTTATCGTACGTGAATTCGATTGGATTTTTTCCGATCATGTTTTTTTTTCTTTCGGCTGATTCCCAATTAAATAAATGCACGAGACTCCGAAATTTTAATTGGTGTACTTACTGCAGCTGTAATTAGATATTGTCCATTGCCCCCCCCCCTACCCCAACAGAATAACACAGTGTGCGTGTACTAAAAATGCTCAGACATTGTTGAAATTTGTTAATTTTGAAAATCACTCAATGTTATTCCGCCCTGTTCACTTAACACTGCTCATTATATGCCCTTTATTCGCTTAACCCTCCGCGCTCAAGGACTCTGCGTCAAACCACTTGGTGATTAAAAAATACTCTCAATGGAGATAACGCCTTACATCTGCGGAGGAACGATGGATCAGTTTAACTCGTATCCATCATCCTCGTCTCTATTGCCTTCCTAGTTTTTTATAAAACTAGTACGGCACTTGATAAATAGAATCGATTAATACACAACTATGCATAAGCATTTATACCATAATCATGTCGATTCAAGATTGTGTCCTTTGTAACATTAAAATTCTGCTTGCATGGTCAAAGAATCACTCTTTATTCAGATTTCTTCTGAATTCGTCTTCACACCTACACGATTGTCTAACTTAGATCTAATTAAAACAAAAATCCTTTATACAAGTAAACATGCCGTAAATCACAGACGTAGTTTAATCCCCCCCCCCCCCCCCCCCCCCCCGGGCCAGAAAAAAAAAAAGAAATGTCGGCGGATTGTGCTTAATTATATTGTTTTATTGTCCCGCTGAAAGACTGGACATAATTTGTTCTGTCTTCTTCCGATAAAAACTTTTCCGCATTCAAGTTGAACTTCATTCGCCTCACGGCTGTGTCTTCCGGGGAGGCATCCTTAACCTCTTTATGGTATTTTAGAGTCAATTAATAAATATCTGTTACTAATAATATTTGTAAGATATGCATTTTGAGGTAAAATGGCAGCAAAAAGTTACCATTTTAAATTCGTCGATGGGAAGAGAGATAGAGAGGGGTAGGGGGGTGGGGGTGGGGTAGGGAGAACTACAGCTTGTTATTCTGACCTTTAGTCTGGGTGCCTTGTCCCCATGCTTCGCCACACCAGATTCTCAGTTTCCCACCACCAACTGGCGCCCCGAATGGGGGAGCCTGGTCACTGAACAAGAGTCGAAGTGTGACATATTTCTTGACCGAGGATCAAGTTGACCTTTACTCCCGCAGGTACCGCTGGGCTTAGAGAGCAATGGCTACTTCACTCTATCTGTGATAGTAAATGATATTGTTTTGTCAGGCCCATCTCGTTACTGTAACCCAGTAACCCACATTGCTGACATGTCAAAAGAATGCGCTAATTAACAGATAGGTGGGATAATTGAATTCCTTTTAGGATTATATATATATAGAGGATCTAACATGAATAAAGTTAGCATTTACACAGACAAGAAAGTGTTTGTTAGTCTCTACTAGCCTACTATTACACTATCTGTCTCTCTCTCTCTCACTCACTTGACTAAATGGAACCCAATAAAAGCACAGACATTCAAACAATCACGTGACATGTATCTTCTAATGACCTGTTTTTGTTTTTGAAAAGATTTGAGGTAGTCTGAAAGGAGAGGGGGGGGGGGAAGATACAATATGAAAGGAGGGGGCTGATGGTTTTAAAAAAAGATATACTCATTTTATTGAAAAAGTTGGGAGGTATAAAAGTTTAAAGGTCGCACAACTGACCACTTACGTGAGGCATGCATCACTGACTCACATTGTCACGCGGCCAGCAGTCCATGATAAAGTGAGTTTAAAAAAAACAACCTATAACTTTTGTATAATATTTTAAACTAGGGACACATGCCCTATTGGAGGGTCACCAGAGAATGTGCTGCACTATGTCTAGTTTAGCAAGAGCCTATTGAACAAGATACTGGCCCAGGAACACCGCTTTACAATGAGAACAAAAAAAGTATGTCTGACCTTGAAATCGCCCAACCCTACTAGATTTATTTTTGTAAACATTTATTTTCATTTTTACAAAAAGCTTTTATCGACTCTGGTGAAACATTTTAACACGTAATTTCTCCCACATCCCTTCTCTGAACAAGTTTGAAACTTTTCCACAACTATTTATTTTACCTAACATGCTAAAATTAAGTTTACTATTGTGAGTATATAATCGAGAGAAGGTTATATTGTGCGTTTAATGTGCATGTTCAATCTTTTCATGATTTCAACGAGTGGATTAAAATAATTTTAATTGGTGAAAATTTATTCTGTTATCAGTTCAACCAAAGAAAGAATGCTGGGCATCGCAGTGGAACCATTGAAACTTTGACTACATCGTGTGGTTCCTGAAACTACATGGACGTATTTAACTGTTCAATTTAATCGTTACACATATATAGATTGACCAACATGGTTCGATGATGACCACTTTTGTCATCCGGGGGAGGGGGGGGGGGTTAGGGCCTTGCACTGGGGTTTTGTGCCTCCTAGTGTGGCTGCTGAGACCTAAGTGAGCCCGGAATGTTCGGCTGCACACTGGGCAGGTTATTCCAGCTGGAGCTAGTGTCCTTGCACATACAACCGAAACCTATTTTCATTAATATAATAGGGTGTAATATTAAATAACAGCAATCATTGTCACCTTATATACACCTGGGCGATGTCTAAGTGGATGTAGAAAATATTATTTTCTGGTTATCCTCGAAGCCTCGACGTCTGCCTCGGTTAAAGATGCGGGCTCCCGACTCCCTCCCCATCATTCTCTACCAAAAGCAGAAGTCGATCAAGATTGGAAATATCATCGCTGGTTGGTCGCCCCCCCCCCCCCCCCCTTTGAAGTATAACACATCACTTTGACCTACTTGTAAGGTGTTCGTTTATTGATTTGAATTGAGGTCATCGGTGAGAAAACTATAAATGAAAAGGTTCAACTAGTGGGCAATAACATTAGGCTATATTTCTTACGTCAAACTTTGCCACTGCGGCATTTTGTTTTGTGAAATGCCGGTATTGTCGTATGGACTTTAGCTTTAAATTTTGAAAATGAAAACCATTAGAGGTATAGGTCTTAGTGAATTTATTTAATAGTGTACACTACACTCTGTTGTGGTATGGGTCTTATTGCATAAATTTATAAAAAGTTCGCTTTTCTTGTGGTATATGTCTAAATGAATATTTCGTTTTGGTGTCGCATGCCTTACTGAAGCAGATCTGGATCAGGCCAATGCCCATGGAAGAGAATTACCTACAACATTTCTTCCTCTGTTTAGTAAAAAAGGGCTCGGATTTCAGGGTGTTCAAAGTGCGCAACAGCACATGGCCTTGATGATGAAAGGTTCACACAGAATTTCGCACACGTCTGCTGGGCGCTGTTTTTCTGTCTGTAAAATGCAATCACGCAGCTCAGAATGCAGACAATCATTGGCTGGCGGGGCTCTGGATCCGGCAGTGGGAGTCTAAATTGCTTTCCAGGTCCTAGCTGCAACTCTGGCACCTGGGTATTCTCAGATAGCCATTTCCAGTTCACAAAGGTCTCAAGATCCCGAGATTCGATTCTTATTAAACACTTGTATTGTTCCTAGCTATAATGGATTACTGTAAAACCTTCATAATAAATAGCGCCTCAAATTGTTTTCCCGTTTAGATAGATTACTTCTTTCCCTACCCTTTTCATACAAACTCCATACTTCCCCTGCCCCCCCCCCCCCCCTTTTTTTTTTCAATAAAGCACGTCCTTGACCCCAAGTAATCCTGGCTAGGCTACCCGCTCGATGGAATCCTCGCCCCTCCCAATATCCATACGTAATAAATGGAAATAATCATTTCATCTGGAAGTTATTGCCATAGAACTTTCAAATTACTTTTTCGTGTTCGAGTTCCCCACTGGAGATCCATTTATTCGATTGTCTTTCACTTACTTGTAATCGCTCTGTAATCCTATCCAAGTTTTCAATGAAAAATAACATGCTTAAATGTATCGTTGTCTTGTTCAATAAACTAATCTATTTTACTTTATCCTTGACTTAATCCTTTTCTAATCTATCCAATAATCCTAAAATCCCCTAACTTAATGTAAAAAAAAAAAGTTTAACAATCGACAACCGAGGCGCCTCTCCCCCCCCCCCCTCTGTTTTTTTTTTCATTTTATTTAATTTCTTTGTTAATTTCAAACTTACGAATTCGTTAACATGTTGCCGATATAGGAACAAATTAATTCTCGGCGTTCCTCCCTCATAGAGAGTTACCTCCACGTGTCCCTTGAAAAGTTGTTGGGAGTTACACGTGTTGTTTGTTTGGTTTGTTTGCTGATAAGAGATCGACCTCCTCCCCTCCCCCTCCCACTAATTCTCCCCTCCTCCCATTATCTGCACATTCCTCATCTACCCCAGTCTTGTAGTTTGTACAGCTATTATGCCATTAAGTGAGGCCCCCCCCCCCCCCCATTTACACACACACACACGGCTGCTTTACTCGTACCAAAGATCGACGCCCTACCCTACCTGTGACCTCTTCAGCAATTCATCGGAGGGGGGGGGGGGAGAGGGGCTGCCCCACTGCACCCTCTCCCATTCTCTGTCAACTCCTTTCTTTTACATCACTTTACATTACAACCAAAGAGATTAACCCACAAGAGAGGGAAACATACGTAGCATCCGGCGTTTCATCGTCAATCACCCATAGGGATGGTTCTCGGCCACCATGCGTTGTA